GGTAGTTCTGTGTTTACTATTTTGAGAAACTGTTGGCCAAAGTGCTACGTGATTTTACATTCCCACCAGCAATATATGCCGGTTCTAATTTCTCCATATTCATGATGGTACTTGTTACTGTCTTTTTTATTATAGCTGTCCTGGTGGGAGTGAAGTCTCAGGGAGGTTTTGATTTGTATTTTCCTAGTTACTAATTATGTTGAGCATCTTTTTATTTGCTTATTGGCCATTTGTATATCTTCTTTGAAGAAATGCTTATTCAAATACTTTGCCCATTTTTAATTGGGTTGCCTTTTTATTTTTGAGTTGTAAGAGTTCTTTATACATTCTTGATACAGGTCCCTTACTAGATATGACTTGCAAATATTTTTTTCATAATCTGTAGGTTCCTCCTTCACTTGTTAATGGTATTGTTTCCAGCATGAAAGTTTTTTTGATTTTTATGAAGTCCAGTATGTCTATTTCTTTGTTTTTTGTTGTTGTTATATTTTGTTTTTTTTTTTTAAAGTAAGCTCTGTTTCCCTCCTGGGGTTTGAACTCACGACCCTGGGTTCAAGCGTTGCATGCTCTACTGACTGAGTCAGCCAGATGCCCTGTGCTTTTGATGTCTTATCTAAGAAACCATTGTGTAAAGGTCATGATTTACCCTTATGTTTTCTTTTGAGAGTTTTATTTTTATCTTGAGGGGGCACCTGGGTAGCTCAGTTGGAGGAGTGTGTAACTATTTTCATTTTTATTATTTTTTTTTTTACAAAAACAACTTCAGTTTATTCTTTAGTTCAAAACAAAACAAAACAAAACAAATCACTTGACAGGCTTAGCTCTCTAGGAGATCTTTATATGGCAAAGTACAGGTTTAAAAAAAATCCACAAAAGCCTGAAATTTTATCCTATGGCTTTTGCAACTAGGTGTATTTAGAGGACCTTTATTTTGTTTAATAGCAATTATATTGAAGTTCAACACAAAATTCACCTTTTTAAGGTGTATAATTCAGTGTCTTTTAGTATTATGCACAGAGTTGTGTAATCATTATCACTATCTAGTATTAGGACATTTCATCACTCCAAAAATAAACCCTGTACCCATTAGCAGTTGCTTTCTGCCCCTTCTCCCCAACCCCTGACATACTACTTTTGTGTGTATGGATTTGCCTATTCTGGATATTTCATATAAATGGAATCATATGAAATGTGGTCTTTTGTGACTGGTTCCTTTCACTGGGCATGTTTTCAGGGTTCAACTATGTTGTAGCATGTATCAATACTTCATTACTTTTTATGGCTAAAAAATATTCAGTTATATGGATACACCACAATTTCTTTATCCATTCATCAGTTGATGGATATTTGGGCTCTTTCTACCTTTTGGTTACTATGACTAATAGCTGTGAACATCCATGTATAGGTTTTTGTGTGGTGATATGTCTTCAGATACCTTGAGGATATTCCTAGAAGTAGAATTGCTAGTTATCCTATGTTCAACATTTTGAGAAGCTGTCAGGCTGTCTTCCAAGGTTTGCATACCATTTTACAATCCCATCAGCAGTGTTATAAGGGTTCCAGTATCTCCACATCCTCACTGACACTTGTTACTGTCTTTTTATTTTAATCACCCTAATGCATTCAAGGTAGTATCTCCTTGTGGTTTTGATTTGCATTTTTCTTTTCTTTTTTTTACATTTACATCCAAATTATTTAGCATATAGTGCAACAGTGATTTCAGGAGTAGATTCCTTAATGCCCCTTACCCATTTAGCCCATCCCCCCTCCCACAACCCCTCCAGTAACCCTCTGTTTGGTCTCCATATTTAAGAGTCTCTTAACGCTTTTGTCCCCCTCCCTGTTTTTATATTATTTTTGTTTCCCTTCCCTTATGTTCATCTGTTTTGTCTCTTAAAGTCCTCATATGAGTGAAGTCATATGATATTTGTCTTTCTGTGACTAATTTCGCTTAGCGTAATACCCTCCAGTTCCATCCACGTAGTTGCAAATGGCAAGATTTCATTCTTTTTGATTGCTGAGTAATACTCCATTTATATATATACCACATCTTCTTTATCCATTCATCCATCGATGGACATTTGGGCTCTTTCCATACTTTGGCTATTGTTGATAGTGCTGCTATAAACATTGGGGTGTACGTGTCCCTTCGAAACAGCACACCTGTATCCTTTGGATAATTACCTAGTAGTGCAATTGCTGGGTCATAGGGTAGTTCTAGTTTTCATTTTTTAAGGAACCTCCATACTGTTTTCCAGAGTGACTACACCAGCTTGCATTCCCAGAGGAGTAACTCTTGATCTCAGGGTCGTGAGTTTGAGCTCCACATTGGGTGTAGAGATTACTTAACAAAAAAATCTTAAAAGAAATGTTTTAATTTTAGGTCACTGATTCTCTTTGAGTTAATTTTCGTATATGTTGTAAGGTAGGAGTCCAACTTTATTCAGTTGTTCCAGCACCGATGAATTGTGTTGGTACCTTTGTTGAAAATCAACTGATCCATGGGGAGCCTGGGTGGCTCAGTCAGTTAAGTGGCTGACTTCAGCTCAGGTCATGATCTCGCAGTCTGTGAGTTCAAGCCCCACGTCGGGCTCTGTGCTGACAGCTCAGAGCCTGGAGCCTGCTTCTGATTCTGTGTCTCCCTCTCTCTCTGCCCCTTGCCTGTTTGCTCTCTGTCTCTTTCTCTCAAAAATAATAAACATTTAAAAAGTTTAAAAAATAATTAAAAAAAAAAAAGAAAATCAACTGATCCTAAATATAAGGATCCTAAAAATCAATTGATCCTAAATCAGTCCTATTCCACAGATACATATGTGTATCATTATGCCAATACTACACTGTCTTCATTACTATAGCTCTGTAGTTAGTTTTAAAATTCAGAACATGAGCCCTCCAACTTTGTTTTTTCTCATGATTGTTTTAGCTATTTTATGTTCCATATTATTTTTTGCATCAGCTTGTCAATTTCTCCAAAAGCCCAGCTGAGATTTTGATAAGGATTACTTTGATTCTGTATATCAATTTGTGGAATATTGCCATCTTAATAAGATTTAGTCTTCCAAATCCATGAACATAGTATACATTCCCATTAATTTAGAAAATCTGTAATTTTCTTCAACAGTGTACAGGTCTTATGTACTTATGTTAAATTTCTTTCTAAGTATTCTTTATGATGTTTTTCTAAATGGAATTGTTTTCTTAATTTTGTTTTTATAATGTTCATTACTACTGTATACAGATACACTTGACTTTAAAAAAAATTTTTTTCAACGTTTATTTATTTTTGAAAGAGAAAGAGTGCAAGCAGGGGGTGGGGGGGGCGGGGGTGAGGGGCAGAGAGAGAGGGAGACACAGAATCCAAAGTAGGCTCCAGGCTCTAAGCTGTCAGTATGGAGTCCGACACGGGACTCGAACCCACAAACTACAAGATCGTGACCTGAGCCAAAATCAAGAGTTGTACACTTTAACCAACTGAGCCACCCAGGCGCCCCTGGTGTTCTGTTTTCTATTTCATTGATTTGATTCTAATTTTATTCTTTCTCATGCTGCCTTTGGTTTGGTTTACTCTTTATCTAGTTTCTTAAATTTCAAATTTAGGTGATTGATTTAAAAATTTTCTTCCATTTTTATAGAGGCATTCAAACCTGTAAATTCTACTATGTCACATTAAGCCAGCTTTCCATAAATTTCGACATTTGCTTTTCTGTTGAGTTAAAAATATAGTCCATTTCCATTGTGATTTCTTCTTTGGTTCATGAATTACTTAGAAACTTGTTCAGTTTCCAAATATTTGGGGATTTCCCAGATTTCTTCCTGTTTTTGTATTCTCATTTAATTCCAATGTGTTTATGGAGTGCCTGGGTGGCTCAGTTGGTCAACTGACTTTGGCTCAGGTCATGATCTCACGGTTCGTGAGTTCAAGCCCGCATTGGGCTCCATGCTGACAGGTCAGAGCCTAGAGCCTGCTTCGGATTCTGTGTCACCCTGTTTCTTTGCCCCTCCCCTGCTCTCACTCTGTCTCTCAAAAATAAGCAAACATTAAAAAATTTTTAAAAATTTCAATGTATTTAGAGAACATACTTGTATTATCTCAGTGTTTTCAAATGTATCAACTGTGTTTTATGTTGGTTTTTCCTGTTTTTGAGGGGTATTTTTGCTAGAAATGGAATTGTCTTTTTCTTTCAGCAATTTGAATGTCATCCATCTTACTGCCTTGTGGCCTCAATGTTTTCTGATGAGAAGTCAGCTGTTAATCTTACTAAGGATAGCTTGTATGCATATTTTTAGATGCTTATTATATGTCCATTTGAATATGAGTCTGGAGTTTAGGGGAGAGAGGTCCAGGCTGGATGAGCTCACAAAGGTGTGAGTACAGAAGACGACTAAGTACTGAGTCTTGGGATACTACAGTACATAGAGGTAGGGGACATAAGGAGCCATCAGAGTTGTCTGAGAAGGATTAACTGGTGGAGGATTAACAGTAGGAGAGTATGGTGTTATGGAAGTCAAGTGAAGGAAGTATGTCAGGGAGATGGGAGTAATGTGCTATTTCAGATGCTGTTGAGAGATCAAATAAGGTGATAAGAAATAACCAGTGGAAGTCATTATGGATCTTTGATCAGGGCAGTTTCATTGGAGCAACTGAGGTGAAAGTCTAATTGGTGTGGATTTACTAATGAAATGGGAGGAGAATTGGATGCATTAAGTTATAGGCAACTCCTTTGGGAAACTTTGCTGTAAATAGGAGCAAATGGGGTAATAGCTAGAGTTTGTTTAAAATGGAAGGAATTTTAGCATGTCCCCTAACACTGATTCTTCAACCAGCCCTGTATTTCTTAAGTTTGAAACTTTAAATTTGATTATTTCAATTCAGAAGTTAGAAATTTTCACTTTACACTAAGATTGACTCAGGGGATTTTCCCTTTGGAGGGTATTTGTAGCCGTTTATACCTGTCTGAGTCTTTTTTGGTTACTATCCCTAAGCTTGCATCTGGAATGAGCACTGCATACTCTATTCAGGTCGTTAAATCCTGCCATTAAAACATCTTCTAGGGTTCCATTTTTGTACCACCTTCTTCATGAAAGTCACCAGCAATGGTTTCTCACTTCTTGCTTAGAAAGCAAGTAAATGTGGAAATATAGAACATTTACTTAAGCAGCTTCTGTGTCAAGAAAACTGCTACACAATTACAATAAATGCAGTATTTTTACTACTCATTTTGGCCTTTAATAAAATGTGACCTTGTGATTTTAACTAGTTCATGCATTTCCCTAATTAAATTGAAAACTCTTTGAGGCCAGAAGATTACATTTTCTTTCATATGCCCCACCATGATTTACTACAGCATTAGCTCATTGAATGTTGCATGAACATGAAATATTACTATTTGCCATGGAAGAGTTTTTTATAGATGGGTTCTTAGATTAGCTTAGAACTTTATATTTTATAAGGACTCAGGGCCCTGGAGTGTAGCCTGAATTTAACCCTGACTAGCAGTATTGTCTGTTCCAGGTAACTTTTAAGTACTTGGGTGGTATTAAGTATGACAGGAATTCTCAGGCTTTGGCTACACATGGGAATCACTTGGAAGCCTTTAAATCCTGAGGCCTACCCTAGAAACTGATTGGTCTGAAGCATGGCCTGGTCATAGAGATTTTTAACCCTCCACTGATGATTCTAACATGCAGCCTAGGAGGAAGAAATCCACCATTAGAAGAGATTGGAGTCCCACCCTTTACCTTCAGTTCTGCTCACTTACAGCTGTAAGTAAATGTTACCAGTACATTTAATCTTTTATATTATTCAGTAATTTGTTTTTTCCCTCCTTGTAGTTTCTTATCTCAGTCATCACTATGGTACTTCTGACACTGATAACTGTCACACTGGATCCTCCTCAGAAATTACCGGACTTATTTTCTGTATTGGTTTGTTTTGTATCCTGCTTACATTTCCTGTTCTTCTTAGTCTACTTTAACATTATAATCATGTGGGATTCCAAAAGTGGAAGAAACCAGAAGAAAATCAACTAGGTACATCTGCAAACACGTGAAAATATTAACAGTGCTTAAACGGTTTTTGAACTTTTTGCTGTGAATAAATAAAATTATCATTTTGAGGATCATGGAATTACAGGGAAAAGATGGTGAAAAGTCATTGTTGTCTATACAAAGTAAATTTATATGGGATCCAAGCCCAGTGGAGGCTTTTATTTTCTAACTATTGAGTGGCCAAGACATACTGTAGTTTTATAATATTCAGTTATCCAAGTGGGAAAATAAGAGAAAATGCCCTTAATCCCAGTATTTACTCAGGAAATATACAATTTGTTGTCTTAAAGAAAATCTGCAAATCCAGTGAACTCACTGGGAGAATTTAACCCTTCTTTTTAAAGGAAATTACTAATTTTGGTATTTAAATTTCATTTTCCTTCCTTGGAATACAAGTAATGTGTATTTCATTCTTTAGAAATCTATCTCAGGGTTTAAATTTGTGACAATCTTTTAAATTACTGTGAGAAGGCAATTTAAACTGCTTGAAGTTTGAACATGCCTCATTACATGGTACAAATTTGAATTTCTTTTTAACAGGCAGAGAGGTTAAACCATGTTCTTATTTTTTCCAAAATGCCGATTTACTTAAATGCAATTTAACAGTGAATTTTCTTGAATTTAAATCTAAGTGGTTTGAGTGATGTCTTTTTAATTACTCATGATCACTAGTTCTAAACTTCCAGGATCATTCTGTTTAAGTTAAATGGTCTTATGCAGGATTTCATCCTTCTGATCTTTTTATTGTTGTTGTTGTGACATGGTTCAGGATAACCACTTCCATAGCATTGATTCATATCATGTTTCATATTGACTTGGCTCTGTTAATAATGTATCATTCTATATTAGGAGAAGCTCATCTTTACTGTCATATTCAATTGGTAAAAATGTATCATATCGATGTTATAGTTTCTTATGTAAAGATGTGTTGTCTAGATGTGTTGTCTTTACTCTCTGTGATAAGAATAAAACAATTATTTTCACATCAACGTGTGTTTTTAATGAATATATTTCTTTTATAAGATAGCCATTAAAGTATCTTGACTGGTGATACATTTTAAAACAATGAACACATATACACAAAGAAAATTTGGTTCTAGACATGGACAGCCACAGGCTGATACAAGAAGGTATGTACTTCTAAGTCTGATAAAGGAAGTAAATACATTTAGACAAAGCAAAAATCAGGAAGTATTTCTTTTTCGAAGCAAATGTGCATAAAGACTCAAAGGGCAGGTCAGCACAGAAAAGCAGCCTTGAATCACTGCCGAATCAGCAGGAACACTGCTGTCCATGGTCACCATCTGTAATCACTGTGCCCAAATGTCAGCATCTTGGCTGGCTGGTGTAGTCCTATTTTTTTATTTTTTATTTTTTGGAATAGCATACATAGATTTAACACAGGATGTTGATTTAAATCGCTGATGAGGAAGTTCTAACTTCTAAATAACTGGAACAGAGAAACATTATTTGAAAATGTAAATATTAATAGAATATGTACATATTCAAAGGATGTTATGGGCAAAGTCTTTAAATATACATTTTCCAGATTTAACCTAATCATATTGAGTTAACATTGTAGCTTTTATGGAGACTTGTAGCAATTATAAGTCAAGTATGTCTTAACTATCTGTTAGAAACCAATTTAAGAGTCCACTCTGAACTTGGATTAGGTTCCAAAATACCAAAAATGGGGGCACCTGGATGGCTCGGTTGGTTAAACGTCTGACTTCTAATGGTCATGGGTTCAAGCCCTGTGTTGGGCTCTGTGCTGACAGCTCAGAGCCTGGAGCTGCTTCAGATTCTGTGTCTTCCTCTCTCTGTGCCACTCCCCTGCTTTGTCTTCTCTCTCTCAAAAATAAACATTAAAAAATTAAAAAACAAAAACAAAATACCAAAAATGTCCAGTGATGAATTAAAAACACAGAAATAGGCATTTCTAAAGTATTTCAGTGACAGGATTACTGGGATATCTAAATATAGATAGGTAATGCAAAAATATTAAAGATTTCTCACTTCACTAATCTACCTGTCAAAAAAAATGAACACTTCTAAGTTATTTTCAAGTTCATTTTAGAGGGAAGGGCCCTTTCTGAGAAATGCAGTTTTCTCTGTTGCCAATAAACTTAGGTTTGCTTCTTAAAATGAAAAGAACAGGGTGTATGTTCATGTATCAAATATGAAGCATACAGAAGCCATTTTCCTTTGAGGCCTTAAGGAGGGGAGAAAAATCCCAGATGTAGCATTCTGTCCAAATGATAAACCACAACTAAGTGAGTGAAACATTTACAAAAGTCAGGGCAGCCAAAGGAGCCTCTCTGTTCAATAGAAAGAGTAAAAGATGGATAGGATGTAACTAAATAATGGCTGGAGTAACACAGGGGTTTCAAGTCTCAATTGCTCTCTCTTCTGTTATGTTCATTGGAAGATCAGGGCCAAGTGTATCCCCCGCCTTCCTCCATGCCGCACCCCCTCCCCCCCATATAAACATTAGTTTTGTGTGTGGATCTTTCTGCTTTGTCCTTCATGTGGCCTCCAAGGGTGATAAAGCGAGAGTCATCTGATCTACAATGAAGAGGACTGGGAAATGATTCTTAGCAGACCCAGCTGTTCTGAAAGGCAAAAGCTTAGTATATCGAGAGGTCAAATATACAGTAACTGATTTAATAGCATTAAGTACATACCTACATAACTTGCATTACATATGAAACCAAACTACTTCTTAACCCTTTAATTCCTGACTAATGTAAGTTTCTTTATATGCTTTGGCTTTACATCCTAAGGTTAGTTTTCAGTGCTAGAACACAAAAAGAATTATTCTTTTTGGTATATTTTCAGTAATATCCTATTACAAGGACTGTTATCACAAAGTGTTCTTAATATTTAGCAGATTATTTTAAAAGTCTTATTTAAATAGTACCAATAAAGTCATTAGTGAAGGCAATTAGGTTTAATAGTTAATTGGGTTACTATTTAGTATCTATGTCATTTAATAGTTCTTAAAACCCATTTTCATTTTAAGAAGTAAATCTGAAATTTCTCTAAATGGAAAATCAGTTATTTTCAAACAAGTTAAATTTTGTTTCAGATTTTCATACAGTATTTTTATTTCATGATACAGTAGTATCTTCCACAAATTTTATCAAGACTTAGGGCAAGTACCAAGGGAATAGCATTTTTTCCCCTGCAGAAGTGGTCAAAGAAAAATACAGAAGTTTTAAAAAACCGTGTTATCAAGTTATAACACATCCTGTGATACCCTCTTCCCCTTGTTTCGTGAGAGTACAGATGATTATAATACAAAATAACACCACAGAAAAATAGAAATTTAAAACAATGTTTCAAAATCATTTGGAAGGAATCAAAATGATTCCTGACCCATAAGAAAGGTCCTTTCAATTCAGTACAGTGTGTAGTTCAGTTTAAGAACAACTTCATATTTTAAAATGTACTGAAAAATGCATTTCACTATTCTATAAAAGGGATAAAAATTTTTAAACATTGAAATAGTTTTTCTGCACAAACATAGGAATAACTAGAATATAATAAAGACTCGTCCCCGAGACAGTGGCTATACAATAAACTTCTTGAAAATTCTATAAGTGTAAAAAATCTAATTAATACACATCTGGGGCTTTAAATGGGAAAGTGGTACCTAATTCCACTCACCATTAGATTTAATCTGAGCTTTAAAACATACAGTTTTACCAAAGGTGCCATTTTCATAAATGTTCTAAGTCTATCCACAAATGCTAAAAGTATACAGAAGTATATGTGATACAGAATTGAAGTCAAGATCTTGTTCTACATGTTGGCTTACATTAAAGGGTCAAGAAGAAATGTATTATTTACATTGAGATTATCTACTGCTGTGTGTAGAAAGTTTAAATTAGCTGCAAGAAATTTTATCTAGACACACACCTGCCTAGTGCTATGATCTGGTATTTACTGGGCAGATTAATTACAAACATTTCTTCTGTTCCTTTAAATATGATCAGGCAGATGCAGAAGAAGTTGGTGTCCATAGTAAGTGCATTTCTTCTAAATGTCTGCAGGATATAAAAGATGATTGTTAAGAATTAGTTTCCAAATTAACATGCATCTCATACACTACTTAAGACACGATTTAAACACCCATTTACCATGTAATTTGGTACCTAGTTTAGATATTGGCAATCTCTCATTTGCTTATTTTTGAATCTTCTAAGCAACATTCACCTTCACAAATAATCGTCAGTATGATTACTCAGACATCACACTCTTCACTTTATGTGAAGATTTATCTGAGATACTTCTGAGAGATTTCTGAAACTCCTACATGATCTACTTGCTGAAAACACCAAAATCTACATGCCTTTTGTCTGTAAGCCTTAAGGGCCTTTCAGCAGGTGTTTCCTCCAACAGCTGCCCCCCAAAAAAAGAGACTGTATTTACTGACATTCCTATTCAGCGAGTGTCCCTCTGGGGACTCCTAGTGGTGGCAGAAGTTCTTGTCATTTGGCTTAGGACCTTTGTGTGAGAGGACGTCTTTGACAAGAGCAGCTATTGGCAAGTGATGACACATTTCCCATAGGGCATGTGGACCTTTGATTCCTGAAATACCCCATTCATGCTTACACTGGCAGCCATGAAGAAGTAATGCATGGTAGTCCCCTATATTTCCCTATTCATGGGAGTCCACATATATTCTTGTCCTAGAAGAAGGTAGGGTGCCAACTGAAAAACCAACTCTTGTCAACTTGAGTCTGGTCTGAATTCCTATAGAAGATTTTAAGCATTCTAGTATTGACTTAATATCCCTGTAGGTTATTGATACGTAGTTATCAGAACTAATGACAATACCATTCAGGAAAGGAAGACTATCATTAAATAGTTACTATGGGGGAGGTGCTAGTTAAGCTTATTCTGTACAATCTCATAAGGTAAATATTATCAGTCCCATTTTATAATTAAGATTTAGGGAAACCAAGTGCCTTACTTAAGGCCACAGAGCTAAGTAGGTAGCAGAGCTGGTGCGGGACATGTAATCCAAATCCTGTCCTCTGTTATAATGCCAGACCATGCAGAGAAGTTTCATCGATTGATCATGACTGCTAGAAGGGAGCATAGCATGTGTATTATCTCTACACTGCCATACTGGCTCTGGAGATGAATTATCTCAGAACACAAACGAAATACAAGTTAGACATAGTGATGCAGTTCATGAGCAGTATTTTGACAGAATTCATCCTTCGTATAACAACTATATTCTCTCTAAAATATATTTTGGATTGTTACTTCCCTAAACAATAATCTTCACTGGTCCACTTCTGCCTAATGAATAAAGTCTGAACTTATTAAGCCTAGTGATCATAACTGTCAATGATGTGGTTGAACCTACTGTTCAATCGTTCTGCTTTTCTGCCTTTTTGTTCATGTTGTTCTCTCTGCCTCGTATGTTTATACAGCCCATCAAAATTACCCATTTTTCAAATTCAAGCTTCTTAGTAAAGTACAAAGTTTCCATTACTAGGGTCTGGAAGGTCCTCTGTCAGACATAATGTAGAGTGAAATAACTAGAATTGATTTTCAAAGAATGAACTCTTAAATAACGACCTAATCACTCCATCCTGAGGTGATCTATGTCTGTTGTGTATTCCTATACTATTGCTTATTCTTCATTTGGTTCTTAGTTTATACTCCTTGGTCTGAAGAGGAAGGAACTGTCAATTATTCTGCTCTCTATACTCCATGGAGGAGTGACAAACTTGACTGGCCAAAGTCCAGAACATTGGTCTACATTTTGCCAGTAATATTATATGTCACTCTTTTTACACAACACTCTTTCCCATTACTGAGTTTCGCTTTCACTGTCTACTCTCAAGTCCAATGCATCTTTGGGCTTCCTAATTTCATGTTGTAAAGAGACCAGCCCATTTTATCTATCTCATCTGCAATCAAGCATAGGCAGGTCTATTTCAAAGTTCCGGCTTTCTCCTCAGGTTCAAGGTTTAGATTCACAGGGTTCAAGATTTAGACTCAGTGTGGGAGACAGGAGGTTCCATTTCTGCCTTAGGCACAATCTATATTAGTTACCCCAAGTTTCTGCCAGAGGATCTGCCATGTTGGAGGTTATCAATTCCTCCAACTAATTAAGTTGATACTTGGATCCTCATTGGACTCCTAGTCCCTTTTTGTACTTGCTATTGGTCAGAATCCTGGAAAGAAGAGGGGAGAGAGGTCTGAATTTGTACTGCTTATTATAGTTTGCCTTATATTATTATCATTTTATGTGTATAATATTAATCTTGTATCTTTAGCTTGACTACTAGGTTTTAAAAGGTTGGCATTATGCAAGTGCTTTGTTTATACTAAGCCATATACTTTTGTTCACCAAATGATTTATCCAATTGTTTCTAGATGAAGTATCCCAATATCTCCTGCAGTATCACCTATTACTATTTAACCCACACCATGCTTCCACCATCCCTTTGCTGGTCTTTGTACGTCTGTGACCCATAGGTTGCTGCCTCTCTTACTCACAGTATCTCTTATTCTAACATGATTTTATAAAGGCTTTGTTTGTTAAAGGCTATGGGAGTGAATCCGTATGGGTTATTTCCCCCAGTAAATAATAGAGGTCAGGAGGAATAATCACTGAAGTGTGAAAGGGCAGGAGCTGATGTGCAGACAGGGAAGCTGGCCACAACGGTATCAGGAGTACTGTGACTGTCAGAGGTTTCTAGGGCACAGGCCAAAATGAGAGAACATGGAAGAGAGACCTGAGGAAGCCTAATGTAAGGTGAGTTATAAGAAGGTTTTGAAATACGGGTAAGTTTTTGACAATGACGGGAAAAATGTATGTCAAGCAAAGGAGACAGGAACAAAGATAAGGGAATGAGAAAGATTCTCTCTGAGGAATGTGCCTGAAGAATGATACATAATCTGGACTGAGGCACAAGGACAAGGAAAGCTGTGGTCACATGAGGGAGAGTTCTGAATGTCAGTATAAATTTGATTTTACTGTGAATGTGGTAGAGTGATACCTTCTTAAGCATAATTTGTCCAGTAGCAGAACAGGCTGTAGGGGAAAGGGAGCAAGGGGCAGAGAGGCAGGTTACCATAGGGAGGATAATATGGATGAAAGGTAATGAAGGAATAAATTAGTGCAGGGGTCATGGAAAGGAGAGGTAAACATTTTCGGAAGTGATCTAACCTGGCAGCAGTTGGGTATGGGGCCACAAAAAGGGACAGAAATTTGAGGTTTTGAGTCTTATCACTGGATGAGTGTAATCCCTAGAAAAAACAGAAATGAGGAAGAATTTGGGGGGGGGAATAATAAAAATCAGCGCACTTGGGGGACAATATATGGCAGCTGAGCTTGTGGGTTTACAGCTCAGGAGAAGGTCACAAATTGATTTGGAAACCATATACAGTACTACACTAAGGTGAGAACTAAAGCCAAGGAATGGGTGAGATCACGAAGAAACTGCCCAAAACACAGTCAAAAGAACCCAGGGAAATGCCTCAAAGGTGAAGTCCAGTTTCATTTCTTTGTCTTTTCCCTCCACTGCTTCCCACTGAAAAGGAAGTTGAGTGGTAGGTCAACTTTCATTCTTTCAAGTCTTTTGAAAGTACTCCTCAAGTTAAAGACTCAGAAGAACATGGCTAATGTGTGATGATCTTGGGGCACCTGGGTGGCTCAGCCAGTTAAGTGTCTGACTCTTGATTTTGGCTCAGGTCGTGATTTCATGGTTGGTGGGATTGAGCCCCATGTCGGGCTCTATACTGATAGCAAGGAGCCTGCTTGGGATTCATTCTCTCTCTCTCTCTCTCTCTCTCTCTCCCTCCCTCCCTCCCTCCCTCTCCCTTTCCCTCTTCGTCTCTCTCTCTCTCCCCTTCTCTCTCCCTCTCTCGCTGCCCTTCCCCTACTCCCACTCTCTCAAAACAAACATTAAAAAAAGAAAAACATGTGATGATCTTTACCAGAATCCAGCAACACAAAGCTATTCCCAGCACGCCTTAGTTACCTGAAGTTCATGGATGAGACTGTCATATACTAAATGCATATGTTCTCTGCCAGATGTATGACTGTCTTCTAATAGTTTCTGTTGGATTTCCATGGACTAGAAATTGTATAAAATGTTTAGTCCTATAAGTATGTGTGTATATGTATATATATTATATCCTTCCTGTTTAATGGGATCTAAAACCTCTGACCAATAGAGAAACCTGAAAATCACAGATCACTATTGTGAGTGAGCAAAGCACCGTCTCTAGCACCAGACTACTCAGGTTAATATCCTGGCTTTGCCTCTTAGGTAATTCTGGGACAAGGTATTTACATTTTTTTAAATGTTGATTTATTTTTGAGAGAGAGAGATAGAGCGTGAGCAGGGGAGGGGCAGAGAGAGAGGGAGACACAATCTGAAGCAGGCTCCAGGCTCTGAGCTGTCAGCACAGAACCCGACATGTGGCTTGAACTCACAAACTGCGAGATCATGACCTGACCTGAAGTCGGACACTTAACCAAATGAGCCACCCAGGTGCCCCAGGACAACGTCTTTGTGCCTCTGTTTCCTCACCTATAAAATAAAGATAATAACTATATATCATGTAAGTTGTTGAAAAGGTTAAATGGAATATATATAAAGTCTGGCACATTGACAGTGCTCAATAAATGTTAGCTATTATTATAAACTATTATTTGTAGTGTACAACAGAATAAACATTCTAATGAATGAAAGTGACACAATTTTGTGTATAAGATGCTTTGCAAATATTTTTAAAACAGCTAGTTTGTTAGGAAGCTAATACTAATAATTTTAAATACCATTTCCAAAGAAATGGATTGTCAGTATAGAATTCATTTTGCATTAACTTTTTTCCTAAGAGATAGCAGGCAACATCTGGTTAGCTTCTAAGAATCTTAATTAATATTGATGCCACTAAGTCTGACATAGGCTAGCTCTTCATGCGAGCTTTCAGTTATAGGTACATTAGACACTAATATCACATTATGACTCATACTGCTTCTAGCTAATATGTTATAATAAGCTAGTTATAAATCTATCATTTTTACTTACATTGCTGAATCCATAGGGAACTGTTGTGAAGGAAAGATACAACTAATTAATATATAATTATTTACTTAATTTAGCACATTTCCAAATTCAAAGACTTGTTATATCTTGTTCAGTCACATGTGTCCTACAGAAACTATAACCCACCTGTCAGTATCTAATTAGTTATTTATACAAAAGGTGCTAAATTGGGGCGCCTGGGTGGCGCAGTCAGTTAAGCGTCCGACTTCAGCCAGGTCACGATCTCGCGGTCCGTGAGATCGAGCCCCGCGTCAGGCCCTGGGCTGATGGCTCAGAGCCTGGAGCCTGTTACCGATTCTGTGTCTCCCTCTCTCTCTGCCCCTCCCCCGTTCATGCTCTGTCTCTCTCTGTCCTAAAAAATAAATAAACGTTGGAAAAAAAAAAAAATTTAAAGGTGCTAAATTAAGAGCCCCCTTTACACTCACCTAAAAATATGTGCTAGCTGATCAGCCTAGCTGATGGTGTTCTTTTCAATCAGCCTCTAACTCATACATTTTGTCAGACTGTCCTCTTATTTATAAAATTAGATTATAATTTCAACAACAGCTCCAAAGTTCATGTTCCTATTTTCTTTATAGACAGTACCAAATTTGATAATGTAAATAAAATGTTTCCACATGAACAAAACAATGAAATTTAACAAGGCTAACCTTAATTAGAAAGGTGAAACCCTGGGGTGCCTGGGTGGCTCTGTTGGTTAGGCATCTGACTTCAGCTCAGGTCATGATCTCACAGTTTGTGAGTTTGAGTCCCCTGTCAGGCTCTCTGCCGTCAGTGCAGAGCTGGCTTCAGATCCTCTGTTTCCCACTTTCTGTGCCCCTCCCCTGCTTATGCTCTCTCTCTCTCTCTCTCAAAATTGAATAAACATTAAAAAAAAAAGAAAGAAAAGAAAGGTGAGATCCTACCTCAGTTTAAAATGCCTTTAAGGAATTCATAGTTGTCAAGATGATATAATTCTGTAAGAAAGAAAAGTGTTTTTTTCAAAAAACAGCTTAAAGTAAGTTGTCACAGTATATGATGTAGAATAAATGCTGAATAGAATGAAATTAAAGAGCCTAAACATAAAGTTTTATTTTACATTATAAATAGCTTTGGTGCTATAAATTCTCATTTCAACATCTTACTGATTTGCCTAATTCTGAAACATACATTTAAGAATTTAGGATAGAAAGTGCTGAGTGGGAGAGAGTCAAAGCATAAGAGACTCTTAAAAACTGAGAACAAACTGAGGGTTGATGGGGGGTGGGTGATGGGTATTGAGGAGGGCACCTTTTGGGATGAGCACTGGGTGTTGTATGGAAACCAATTTGACAATAAATTTCATATATTGAAAAAAAAAAAGAAAGTGCCAAAAAACTTATTATTATTATAATACATGCTTATCCTTTATTATAATTACTTATCTTCTGTGACAGATTCTATAATCCTGAGGGCAGGACCAGGTCTGTCTGGTTCCTTAGTATATCACCAATGCTAGAACAGTGCCTGGCTCATAAGAGGCATTCAAAAAGTATTAAATGGATGAGGCACGTAAGGAGATAGCAATTTCTAAGTATTTGAAAATATTTACATTCTTTTAAGAAATCCTTAGAATGGCATTTGTTTTTATTCATTCATTGAACATGCACTGTGGATCTTCTATCCAGGTTCTATACGAGGTTCTGAGGCTACAATATAGAGATATGACTTTTGTTTGTTTGCCAAGGAGGAGCCCGGAAGGAGCCCTGTAACCAGACGATTACAATATACTGCGACACTACAACGTTATACATTTATAAACATTCAGACAAGTGTTGTAGAAGCCTAGAAGAGGAAGCAATTTCGTTTTACCTAGGTGAGCTGGGGAGAGTCACAGAGGATGTGACATCTGAGGCTGACCTTAAAGAATGAGCAGGAGTTCGCTAGACAGAGAAGGAAGAAAGAGCAATCTAGGTAGAGAAAGGAGCAGGAGAGGCCTGGAGTTCTGAGAGATTCCAGAGGGCTGAAGCATAAGGTGTGAACAGTATGAATTAAAATGACTTCTTTCCTCCTATATGAGGTCTGAGCTAGAGGAAAAATCACCTAATACTTACTTTTCACAGAAATCTTGCTTTAACTACTTAATTAGCTATATAACACTATAAATATCTGCTTTATTATTCTCCATATGTGTTTAAAATACATAAACCACTTAGAGAATTTATCTAACTCTTTTTTGAGGAGCTTTCCTGACTACTCTAAGAGTTAAAATGGGGGAAAAAATGTTCACCTGTCAGGTGACATAAAACCAATTTCTACTAAATGTGCCAGAATAATTTTTCTCCACCTCAAAAACGGTTAGTCTTCAGTCTGTTCATTACTGTCTTTTTATAGTATTTTTATTTAATAAAACCTATTAAGACTACCATACAAATCTCTTTACTTATGCTTTTATCTTTTAACTGATCAATTTTTATATTGCTGACATCCCTTCTTCACCATTTGCTCATTTAAAAATTCATAGTATGTGAGATATGTCTCTGGAGAAAATGTCTATAAAATTTGTTACAGCTGGCAAATGTGTATGAGTCAGTGATAGCACATGACTAAATGCTTCACAGAAAATAAAATTTGTTTCTGTAGTAAGCAGAACTGTTTAAATGTTATTTATTTTTATGTTTCAAAGAAAATATATTGTGAAGTGCTGCATTGATTTAATACGCAACAATGTCTGTGTACATGCTGTAGAAGGAAAATTTATGAAACCTTTGCACAACTCCTTTAATTGAATTTTCCAAATCTCTCACCACACACAAATAATCAATATCTTCTGCAGAGAAAACCAGTCAGAATTATTACTGTCTTTCGTTTCAATTTTGTTGTCATCAGCACATACGGAGCACCTGGATATTCGTAACGTCTGATACCAAGTTATTTACACCTCTTAAACACATAATTGCTATTAAGTGAGTTCAAATCTATGGTTTAATTTTTTTTTTACGGATTATTTAAAATATAAAAATGATCATACTTCTAGAGAAGTATACAAAAATTTAAATCATGGAAAAAATTATTTAAAAGGCTTTGAAAAGTAATAAATCAGTTTGTTTTTCCTTAAATCCTAGACAAATCTCAAGTAAGCAGTCAAAATGTATCCCCAAAACAGTGATGAACAGTGTAAAATAAGAGCATTAACATTATTAATAGGAAAACTATGAACCACGTACAACATACATGAAAATTGAATCCTGATACAGAGCTGAGGACTACAGTTGTACATTAATGTATATCTGTGTCACCAAAACCAATACCTCCATTTTTTATCTCCAGATAAACCAAGAACGTTAAGACATAGGAAGGAATTTTTGTTGTTTCTTCTAAAGCTCATCATGTCTAAACTTCAGACTCCAGTGCTTTTAAAACTGAAGTATTTGTCTGAACAAAGATATTGTTTAATGTTAAGGTATGAAAAGCTAAAAGGGTAGTAGTCTTCTAGGGAGTGAAATCACTTGGCCGACATGATAAATGCTTTTTCAAGACTGAGTGGAGAAAAGAACAACATAATTTTAAGTTAAAAAATACTTCAGTGGATGGTTAGAATGAAAAGGCAGTATCAAACTACTTTATAGTCTTAGAACAGAAAGAGTTTAAAATTTGTCCTCTAGTCCAAGAATCTGAAAACTTTAAAATCCTATAACCCAGATGAATTTTACAATGTAAGACAGTAAGTTAGCTAAAGAAAACAGAAACATAGTTTGTGCTTTTCTTTTGAAGGCCACAGCTAGAAATTCTGAAATATTTTGTATTACAAACAGCTGAGACAATCAACTTTTTTGAACAATGTAAAGTTCAGATGGTTACATTTCATTTCAAATATGCATACTGCAACCTACACAATTATTCTCAAAACAGATAAAATATGTTTTGGACTAAAGCTAAGTGTCTAGATTTCATATCTTGGCAATGGCTCTACAATTTGCTTACATTCTTTTCAAAAACATTTTGTTTACTGGAAGTACTGGTCATAGACAAACAATGATGGTATTTTCTAATATCTGCAGAAAAAATGAAAATACTAAGTACTATATAATGCCATCTATTGACTTGGGAATATCTGTATTAAGTTGTTTTAAGTAGAGGTTGATTATATAAAGTAAATAAATTTCATGCCTTACCATGTGATGATAATGTGACATTCCATCTGTATCAACTCACTGAATGGTCATGTTTTAAATCTTCAGCATAACAAATTAAGAATAATTATGAAAATTCACATCCAAATCTGACAGAAAAAGGACCTTTCATCTCATTATTTTTCTAAGAGTCATAAAGCCAATATTATTTAGGAAAGTGAGGTTAGGCTTACTTCCTAAGTAACTGAAAAAAGAAAGAAAGCTTTCCTTTGTTTAAGAAAATGGTACTTAGCAAGAGAGATCCTCTTTTATTCATATACTCTATCAAAGCATTCCCTGATTTGCAACGTCCAGTTCTTTTCAAAACTATGAAAATCTCAGTGTACCTTTTAATGTTATTGTGTATGTTTTAATTTTCCCTGAATGTTACATAAAGCCTTAAGAATGTGTGTCAGATGTCTATTTATTTAAATCACTAAGCATGTTATTTTTACAATTATACTGCTCTGCCTGTCATAAAGACTGCAACGGATGCCAAACAAGCTATTTTTCCTGACATGGAAAAATAAATAGAACTAAAGGACCAAGCTGAAGGGGCAACAATAGCATAAATGCTGGAATTTTCCTGATTTTGTCTATTTTAACTATCCTAGGAAAATTTTATGAGAATCTGAAGGACATTCTTTTGATAGTAAAACAAGTAATTTTTTTCTTAAAAAAATTTTTTTTTCAATGTTCATTTATTTTTGAGAAACAGAGAGAGACAGAGAGTAAGTGGGGGAGGGGCAGAGAGAGGGGAAGACAGAATCCGAAGCAGGTTCCAGGCTCCGAGCTGTCAGTACAGAGCCTGATGCAGGGCTCAAACCCATGAAATGTGAGATCATGACCTGAGCCAAAGTCAGACGCTTAACCAACTGAGCCACCCAGACGCCCGTGTTCTTATTTTCATTCAGTA